CGTGCTCCGTCCCGGCTTTGTAGGGATGCGAGGTCAATGGTCTAACGACTACGGCATGCACGACTATGAGTACACTTCCCCCCCCCCCCTGCCCCCCCCTACAGGGAATCACACTGTCAACACAGCAAGAAAAGTGTTCTGTAAGCTGCTGGACGATAAACGATGTAAACGACAACTTCAAACGTGCATGCGGATTCGAGTGCGAAGACCGGGTTCGTTCATATAGTTGCGGAATGGCCGTTGTACAAGAAGGAGGGGGAAGTGCACATGACTTGAGCTGGGAAAAGTACAAGGAGGAGACAGGGAGATGGTTGAGGCATGGAATAGCCAGGAGAAGACGGTAGCTGTACTGCGACAGAGGTGAGAAGTAGGTTGAAAAGGAGGGAAGTGATATCGATAGGATAGATAGGCTAGGGAACACATTTTTGAACCACGTTTAGCAACGTAGGAGGTAAAGATTAGCCATCGGTGATCTGTCCTGTGGGAACAATGCTCCGTCCTCTCGAGGACGCGTGGTCAGTGGTCTAACCGCTAAGGCATGCAAAACATAAGAGTACGCCCCCCCCCCGCCCCCCGGTGTTTGCCAACGGGGTTGGGTTTTCGTCGCTTGGCAACCACTTCGTAACCCACGCCCGTCGCTTCGTGAGCTCCACCACCAGGTTACCGCTTTATTTGTTTTGCCTCTGTTTCTCTTTCTTGGGGTAGCCATGATGGTGGTCGAGTAGATCATGTTGTGCGGGGTCGAGAACCCTCACTCCGCGCAAAGGGGCATGATCGCACCACGTTGTGTTGAATTGGTCAAGCACCCCGGAGGCAGCTACACAGTGCTTATAACTGTCTCTGCAAGTGAAAGCATCAGATAATAAATTAAGTCAGTCGCGGCTTTCATCCATATGGAAGCAAGTGAGCACAAGATGCCGAACACCTTTAGCAAAGGATGCAGCGCACCCTTCATGCGACTCCCCGAAGACCCCACGGCGCTTCGCGCTTGGTGATGTGAGAGCCTGATCCGGTGAGATCTCGGCGTGCTCCCGGTCTAACGACTACGGCATGCACGGTTATGAGTACACCCCCTCGCCACCTGGTCCGGTGGGATCCCGTCGTGCTCCGTCCCGGCTTGAAGGGGTGCGAGGACAATGGTCTAACGACTTCAGGATGCACGGTTATGAGTACCCCCGCCCCCCCCCGCCCCCCTCCAAATTCCGTTGTTCTGCCTTTGATTCCCCTCTCATGCTTTTCACCTCCTTGTCGGCGTCCTCCGGCGGCAGTCTGTCGAGCCCCTCCCGGACCACAAACACCCTCCGGATGCTCGTCGACCCTGCTGCTGCTGCTGCCGCTGCCTCTGGTGCCGGTACCCCTCCCCCCCCATCTGCGTCGACGGAGCCCCCCGCTCCCGGTCCGTACTCGAAAACGCACCGCATTCGGACGTCCTGGACCCGAAGGCCTACCTCTATCCAGGGGCCATCCGCGCCCCCCCCAGCCACTGCCAGAGTTTCCGCCGAGGTGTACGCGTTTCCGACGACCTTGTTCGCGTCCGTGGCGAGATGAAGGAGGACCGGGTGGTTGTTGGTGGCGGTGGCGGTTGCGGCCAATGACGACGTTGTGGCACACGCGTCGAAGGATATCGCAAGAGCGGCAATAGCAATAGAAGCAGCAGAGGTGCAACAACAGCAGTATCGTCAAAGACCCGACAACAGCCGGGTAGGTAGGCCACTGTCAACCAACAACCCCCCCCACACACACACTCGACACGACGGCAATCGACCACGCCATCGCCGACGAGGATCGATTACTCTCTACCTCTCACTAGGGCGAACTAAGCCCCCGTTCTGCCAACACCACTACCTCGCTACCCACTACATCAACGTAACAGGACACAATACACCGACAGGGAGAAAAATGTAATGTATGACTACGACGCCTCCCCCCCGCTCGCCAAACGAAAGCACGCGCTATCCTAAATATCCGGTACGCTTAAGACACGCACCTGGGTGCCGTTGCCGCCCCGGAACGAGTCGGAGAAGAGGGTCTCGACCACCGGCTGCGGACACGCCTCGGGTTCATATCCTACCGCCCCCTGCCCTTTCCTCCCCGTCGCCTGCCCCTGCTCGTGCTCGAATATCTTGGTGTCTTCCGCCGACTCGATAACCCTGCGCGTTGTTGAAGTGAGAACAACATGAGACACGGGGGCGTGTGAGGACACCCCGCCGGCGCATGTTGGCTGAGCCAGACCCGACTCTTGTTGTTGTTGTTGTTGTTGTCGTACCGGAAAACAGGTAACAGTATCGGAGGGTAACACGTGTGTACCAGAGGAAGGGGTGTTCATTGTGGGTACCGAGATTGAGCAAAACCATCTGTTGATCTATATACCACGTTTTCTTTCTCAGGCCCTGATGACGTGCGTGCCGGTTTGACGACATTCCGCACAGGAAATAGGCGCAATGTAGCCCTTTGACTTGACGAAGGGTTTGTTTCCTAAACAGACGGTTGGTTTCTCACGACGAGGGCCGTGTGTCCCAACGCCATGCATGCACTACACGGACAAGGTATGAGAGTCATAATTATCTGCTTGCTGGGAAAAAAAATACTTGGAAAAACAACACATACGGGGTGCCAAAAACGCGTTTCCATCCGCGAATATGCACACAAACCTGCGGGTGATCTTGGTGGTGGCCACGAATTTCTTTCCCGGGATGATGCCTATCATGGCCCCGATGTCGCTCTCTGGGTCTGACCCCGCGCTGAGGTCTTCCGCGATGTACTCTTGCCAGCTCCCTATAATAAACGCAAACGACGACGACACCAAGCAAGATAATTCACGAAATCAGTTAGCCACGGCAAAAACGCGCGCGCTACAACTCCCCCCGCAAACGCAAATAATACACCGGCACATCTGCGGAAAGAAATGGGTTTCCCCTCAATCTCGACGAACTCTTCGCTACTTTTGGTGCGGCGCACGGGCGGGGAGCCGGCGGAGGTTAGCGGCTCATCTCGGGGAGGAGAGGCCAAGCACACACGAACGATCTCACAAGCCGTGCTTGAATTGAAGCACCGAAGCGCCCGGTTCTGTGAGCGGCGGTTCCTGTTTAGTTCGACACGCAACACTTTCATCCGCCCACACGAAGTGACATATCGGCACAACTGGCGACATGCACACATGCTGCCAAGCTCCATAGGCATCGCGGACTTGGTGTTGCACCTTGCGTATTCCAGAAACGAGGATAAAAAAAGAAGAAGCGCAACACCACCGGACCCCCTCACTCACCGATCCAGTTGCCCACGTTTTGGGTCCCGTACTTGCCGAACTGCCACCGGTCGTTGGCAAGAAGCCTCTCCAACCGCCACCTCGCCAGCGTCTCTTCGTCTGCGTTCGGCTCCTCCCCCTGCAGCTCGAACTCCGGCTCGTAGCCGTACTCGGAGTAGTCAGCGCTCCCCTGCGCCCCCGTCCGCGCAAGTGAGGGCCGACACAAGATGTTGAGCCTATTTATCAACACCCATAGAAAACGCCACCAAACCGAACCACATGCGTACCAAAAAGACCGCCCCCTCAACCAGGCAGGTCGACACAAGGTATTAACGAAACCATACACAATACCACAAAAAACCCGCCACAACCGAACCACATGAGTACCAAAAAGACCGCCCCGTATCTGTAGGCAGAAGCCACTTACCACCGACACCACTGCTGCTGCTGCTGCCGAAACTCACGTAATTGTTGTCTTCGTCGTCTCCAGCGGCGCACTGCAGCTCTGAGGAGGAAGCCGCCGTCACCCGCCCCGGAGATCTTCGCCTGCTACCTCCAGTACGGGGAGCGGCGTCGCTCCTGGAGCCACCGCTGCCGCCGACGCTACCTCCGCCGGCCATCAAGCTTGGCCCCCAGCCCCGTGCTTGCTGTTGCGCCGCTTCCACAGGCGTGGGGCTCCTTCTTTGGTTGGACAACTGTTGCTGGGGGGGAGGGCTAAACGCCTGCCCCGCTGGGCGGCGGCGGACGCGACGGGCGGCGCAAGGGTGGTGGAAGCCGGACACCGCGGTCGGGAGGGTTCTTGTTGTAGTTGCTGCTCCCAGGTAGTAGCAGAGGAGCGCGAAGGTCGCCCTGCCTCTTGGCTTCTGCATGATGTGGTTGCCGCTGCCGTCGACTTGATGCTGTACGGTGTCTGAATGGACGACGGTTGTGAGCCAGCGATACGAAGTGGGGTGTTCGGTATAGGCTACATCTTATCTTCGCAAAAAGCATGTTACTGCTGTATCAAGACTTGCTCCAAATGAACTTGTCGCCTTGCCACAAGATCGAACCCCAGGAGGAAGTTCATGAGAACAAAACCCTGACCAAGTGAGAAGTGCGGGTGACACACTGCTGTTGCAATCTTTCGACGTGGCCATGGATACATAACATCATCACAGCTCGGGAGCAATAGGAAGCAAGCAGCAAACGAGGAGCAAGACCGCTGGCAAGCATCGCACGTAAGAAACCAGACCCCCCCCCCCCCCCCCCTCCGTTAGGCATGAGGCATGTGGGTTGATGTTGGGCAGAGCGCACACGTCGAGACAGAAGATGCACTCGTGTGCCGAAACAACGGATGGTCGTAGAAGCTGTGGGGAAGTATGTTGGGGTAAGATAGTCTTGGGGTAGCCGACGGGAACAGCAAAGCTCTTCTCAGCTGGGTGTGCCGCCAACGCTGCAAAAGATCATGAGCAGACCATGGTGCCGCATAGCGAAATGTGCTGGTATGACACCATCAAACACTCTACGGAAAGATCATCACGCCTTATCTCCGCCAAGTACTCACCCTCACTAATTCAGCAGCCTCCAGTGGAGGAGAGCGAAAGCAGAGGAGCCCCTACTGTGCAATGTGCACACAAGTCAAGCACGCAGCAGGAAGCATTGCCCACCAGAGGGGCTCCGCGATATCGTACTGATTCAGCGGAGCTCCACCAGTGGAGCAACACATGACATGACACGACACATGATCCGCGAAATTCGACGTACAGCAACAAGAGAGAGAGCATAACGATGCCGTCCACGATGCGGCGCGTATGCAGACGGCCATTCCGTGCGATAACCGCGCGTTGGCTTCTTTCCGTTCTTATTGTCGTTGCCTGCCAAGCAACTAGCACCCTACGGAATCGCTGCGCAACACCTGCCGCTACCTCTACATGTAGTATGCAGGGTGCCTGCAGCAGTTCCGCAGGCGCAACCTCTACATGTCGTGCCTCGCGGTCCGCGTTTCTGCCATCGTCGAGATGCGGGACAAAGTTTCGGAGCCAACCCCATCGGCGAGGCGTCTCAACCCGGCCTGGAACTCACCACCGAATTCGCCGATATTTTCCACACCGCTATACGGAACTGCTACGGATGGGGGCCGGATCAGGCGACGAACGTTACCAGGGGGCACCAGCAGGGCCCCGCCCGAAGAAAAGGCCATTGGTGTTTCTGTGCCAGGCGATGAACGACGCGATCTTGGAGATGTGTGTGGAAAACAAAGGGCGACCTCTGGCCAAATCCATGACGGATTTCGTCGAGTTGAGTATGGAGGGACTGGCATCAGGTGAGCAGGAAGACGCGAACAGGAATGAATATCGTATACAAGCCGTGATGGCGAGCAGAGCAGCACAGATGATGTCGACTGACCGCTCCCCTTCCGATGTGTGGTCTATAATGGCGGGGGTTGGCGAGGACGGCAACGCCATACTACAGAGACACAGCTACGGCTAGAAACCCTGGTTGAAGTAATTGTTCGCCAGGCTCCGTGACGGCGCGCAACACGTGAGCTTCGCCAGGTGCCGCAAGCACGGCTGCGCACTGGTGCTCTTGCCGATCGCACCTCCCCTTGTGAATGTCCAGCCGCGCCTAAGGGTCTCGTGTGTCTGTTTGCGCATGTCGTTGGGGTCTTTCTGCCCTCTGCAGGCTACTCGAAAGAACAGCTGCTGTTGGAGCTGCAGCTGCTTGACAGCACGACTCGAGTGCCAGGCCAGACTCTCACGGGTGTGGAGAAGCGCTATCGCACGCAGTGGATTTCGGCGTTGGACTTCGTGATGCAGAACGTGAGTGACTTCCACGCGCCTACGCAACGGCTCAAGGCCTTGGTTGTGTCGCCAAATTGTTTTTCATTTGTCGTTAGAATCGACCCGCGTCGGTCGTCGGCCAACCGACGTCGCAACTTGCATTCGAGGCACACCTGAGCTACCCTCGGTTAAAGGCCTTGTCCCTTAGAAGATACTCCGGGGTGTCGATGCTTCGCTAATCGCCGAAGGAAGCCCCTTTTTTTCGGACACGTGGACGAAGGAGGTGGTGTTGGGAATGATTGAGCACCGAAGGTTTGTCCCGGTGATGCTTGTCGATGAAGGTTATGTGTGGCTGCGAGGACTTGTGCCTCGCGGGACAAGCAAGCAGGAGGAACCTCCCTATGGTGCCCCGAGTAGGAATAGGATAAGTCACCCACGTTATTCGCGGGATTCAGTAGAAGGCAACCGTCCTGTCGTGCCGCAGCGAACAATAGGAAGGTAGGAATAGTCCAAAATATGGATCTTGGATGTCAGGAGCACTGCACGGCCCCCGGTACAACCCCGTCTTGGATTGCCTCTCTACGAATCATTCGCGTACAACCCTCAACGTCTTCTCCACGCGTCACCTACACCTTTCTTGGCCCTTTGTGATGCGTCGGCATCGGGCCCGATTTTCTTGATCGAGTTTAGCTGAAGTTCATCGACGAGCAGGAGCCGAAGTCCGTTGAGGAGTTCCACATCAAGAGCCAGGCAAGCGTTGAGCCCTTTATTTGGTTCGTGAATTGAAGTCATTTAGCGCACAACGCGGTCACCTCCTGTTCTTGTTCTGTTCAAGAAACTTTGTGGTACTTTTCCTTGGTAGAGATAAGCATTGGGCGTGTGATCGGTGCGTGAAGGAACTTCGGTGAAATGCAACGGAGTTCTACCACCCCCATGGCACTCGTTGTCGTAAACCGCGTGTGAACGTTCGCGTATGCCTCCATAACCTCTCCACAGGTGGACGTGGTTATGCGAGGGAGACAAACCAACGATGAGCAGACTTTCGTCAAGTTCGACAAAGCGTTGGCTACGGGCGGAGTTGCTGGCGGCGTTGCTACCGGTAAGACTCCCGCCCTTCCCCTCGCCGCAGCTCTTGTGCGTGTGCCGGTTTTCGCACGTGGACTCCATCTGTGTTTGCAACACGCTAGTCGCAGGCGTCACATAGGTTTCTTGTGTTCAAGCTCGACGGACCGTTTGAGGAGTAGTTGCATTCATGATCCACATGAGTTTTTTGCGGGACTTATGCTCGATTTCCTTGCGAACACGATCATCCACACAGGTGATCGATGCGCGTTTCGCATGGACAATGTTGGGCTGTTGTGCTCGTGGGATGGCAGCAGGCTGTACGATAGGTCATGTTTCCCGTCTTCCCAACTCTCCCATGTTCCAATCTTTATTTTTTGTGTCCCAAATCGCCCACTCTTTTCGCTCGCTGTTTCTCTTCGTTCCCCTCCGGTCCCCCCGCGCCACCGTTGCTTGCGTCTCCTCCACACGTGGGCGTTGCTCTGGTGCCGGCTGTCCGATTGTGCTTCGTGCATGGAACAAACTGTCGTGACTGGCTCGGAAGAATGCATCGCAATATCGCCACAAATGGTGCCCTTGTCCCAGTTGGTGCTCTTGGGAATACGCGCCCTTCAAAAATTGGAGGATGCAGCGGAGGCGTAGTTGAGAGTTCTCCCGACGTATGCTTGACAACACAGAAGAGCGCACACTCTGTGACATTATTTGTGTACATCTTAAGAGCCGCTTGCGTGGAAAACATAATTCACTCGTAAAACCACGCGAGGTTTTTGGAACCGTTTGACGTGCATCACACGCATTCATGACCGATGGTAAGCATACCGCTTAAGAATGTCATTTGTTCTTCGGTGACTACGGCCAATAGATGGATTCCGCAGCTTCAGCCTCACTATCGTTGTTCGTGTGAACACCATCTTTCCTTCCCTCCTTCCCTGGTACCATAAGTATGTCACCGCTCACGCCGCCACGACGATCTCAGTTTAGTGTTTGTTCCGATGCGATCGTACCGCCACTTCCAGTACACCATTTGACGAGCTTCAAGCCGCTCCCTCCTGCAGCTTGGCAGGCTCCGCCCTTTAATATCCCGGTCACAAGGTGGCGGCGTTGGGTCCGGCGTACGTTCCATGTGACTCGCGAAGTCATGAAGCACGTTATTGGATGTTATCTGAGGACCGACCTACATCTAACACCATCATCACCACCTGCACTACCCCCGTTTAGTTCGGCTCCGAGATAATGGGTAGGGGTCGCGCTAACAAATTTTAATTATTCGCTGAATTATTCGCGCGAAGCGCGCAAAATCCCTGAAAGTGCAAGAATTCCTGAACAGAGGACTCTTCTTTCGCAGGCCCACACGGCCCCTGGGGCTAATTTTTTTCGCCATCAGAGTGTGAAGTCACCTCCTGCCTGTTGAATCGTTTTTTCGATGCGTTTGACGCGGAGAGGGCAACCGACCCGTGGACCTACACTTTCGTTTACGGTCGAACACGTTTGCTAGTTTAATCGGGCTCATCACAGGGCGGCACGCACCAAAAGCCAACAAGAAGGCACGACGTGGTCACGACGATGATCGATGCAAAAGGCATACATACTCTTAGTGTCATTTGGGAAAAAAGCTGGCGGCAGACTTCCATTTGATGTTTGCGCTCTAGAATACATGTAGACTCTTGGCTCGGCCAACAGCACCCGTGAAGGGCACGAACGATGGACGGGTGATGCAGTGTCGGGAGGAGAGGGTCGGAGAGGAGAAGTGAGCACACAAGAACACAAGAATTTGAGGTTCATGGATCATGAGAGTGCGACGTGTGTGTCGCCCGGTCAACCGAACATGATGTTGTGTGTGGCAACTGCTGTATTTCACTACATACAGCAATTACGAAAGCAAATGTCGAGTGCCTCCCTCTGGACTGTGGGGGTGTTCCGCGGTAAAGACGAATTGTCTCTCCCGCGGCGAGGAAATACTCGAATGAAAAACCGTTTTTGCATACATGTCTGAAACGACGTTTAAAAGCATAAAAAAAAGAGAAACAAAAAAAATGTGATCGGATCGCCTTGATTGTGTTTTTTCACCGCGTTGCCGATTTCGGCGCCTCCATTTCTCCTCGGCAATCGATTCCGCTTGGCCGATTTAGAGGGGGTAGAGCCACTCAGAAAGTTGATCAGACAAAAACTCGACGTGGGAACCGAGAATCCACAATCCCAGGAATTTTGAAATTGCTCAGCTACTGTCAGCTTTTGAGCAGCTGAAAGTCCATTGCAAATCAAAACTGGGACATTCCAACAATGTATTTGTGATCCCCACCCCAAAATTACCCTAATTCGAAGTCAGGAGAGATTGAATCAACATGCAGAAAGTGTTGCGGGAGGGGGGATATTTCAGTGTAATTCCTAGTAATTCCAGGTTATCCCTGCTTTCGCGCATATATATCAGTGCGTAGCTGTATCACGGCCGCATCGATCCTGATCGAAATTCTGACGACGGATTCTTGATGTACAACACAACATTACCCTAACCTGAACATTTTTGACGATTCGGAGGCATTTGCAACTTGCTCGGGGGGCCCGCAGACGCGATTTTCACCCAATTTGGCCACTAATTCATCAATAAGTCATCACCACGACACCCAAATGGGAAAATAAGTATATTTTCGTGATCCTCGTGACCTAACGGATGTTGGTACAAATTTTCAGAGGTTGGGAACCATTTCTTGCTGGTCATTGAAAAACTCGTGGAGACTATTCGTCTTTACCGCGGAACACCCCTGTGGTGCAT